TCCTTAATTCACTCAAAAAAATAAAACAAGAACTGAGGCAATGCCAATTTAATCTAAAAAGCTCATGTCATGATCATCTTAAAAGCTATCAGAATAGCTTACATAACTAAAATACTGGGTGTAAAAGTGTATTGTCTATCTGTCCCTCTAGTTAAACACATTTCTCTCTGGCTAAAGTGAAAAAAACTGAGATGCATGCACTGCTGCTCAACTCCTGAGGATTCCACTTGATACTTTTCAAACAATTTATTAATCAATTATTAATTGTGGCAGTGACCACACTTTTATCATTTCATATCCATCTTCAGGAGGGATACATCAGCATTGTCAGAGCTTGCCTTATTAAGAGAGTGTTTCCCGGCCGGGCACGGCGGCTCAAGCCTAATCCCAGCACTTTGGGAGGCCAAGGCGGGTGGATCACGAGGTCAAGAGATCGAGACCATCCTGGTCAACATGGTGAAATCCCGTCTCTACTAAAAACACAAAAAATTAGCTGGGCATGGTGGTGCATGCCTGTAATCCCAGCTACTCAGGTGGCTGAGGCAGGAGAATTGCCTGAACCCAGGAGGCGGAGGTTGCAGTGAGCGGAGATCGCGCCATTGCACTCCAGCCTGGGTGACAAGAGCGAAATTCCGTCTCAAAAAAAAAGAGAGTGTTTCCCATATGAGCTCAAATCAACACAAAATGAAGAAGGTTCACCAGGTGACACTGAGCAGGGCCCCTACTACTGCAATGTCATCCCCGAAAGGGACACAAAGGTCAAGGGAATGGAGCTGTGACAACTCTAATGGGCACAGAGTTAAGGTTTCACTTCTTTTCCATTGTTACTGCAGAAAAAATTGTTTCTATTTGCAAAATAAAATACAGACAGATTATCCTAAGGCACTATCCTTTAAAAAATTCGTGCAAATGCTTAAACAAAAGATTATATGTGTATGAGTGAACTGAAGAGCTTCATTTCCCCCAGGCATCTTCTAATTCATCGTTCTGCTTTATTTTGCTTAAGTGCATGATGCCGATAGTTACACTGCTTGCTGTTTTATTCAGTGTAGTAAATAGTGCATTGTTTTTTTTTTTTAATGGACCTAAATAGTTTTCTTCAATTGGAAGTATGCTCCTGTAATAAACCATCCTCAAAATATTTTTGCCAATGTTACAAGATGGAAATGTTTTGTAAACTGTAAAACGCTATCCGAATGAAAGGAGGACATCTGTATTACTAAAACAGAAAGCAAAACATTTACTCAGAGCTCGCACTGATACGTTACCACTGAGATCATCTCTTTTTAAGTCAAGTTCAACCACATCTTCTCAGCTCCTATTTTTTATTAACAACCGACAAGGCTTACCACACCGTTCCCTCTCTTCCCTCCCTTACTTCTCCACTGGCTTCCCTGTGACTGTGACACCTGGTTTCCCTCCCCATCGGACCACTTCTCAGTTTCTCTCACTGACTCCCTTCCTGGACATGGACTATAGTCATGGAACAGTTCTTTCCTCTGGGTGCTAGTTTATTTCACCCTATCACGTTTTTAGGGTCACCCCCATAGTCGCTGAGTATATTTTAGCCGGCTTTTCCCTGAACCAACATCAGTGTTTCTCTCTCCAATGAAAAGCCATTACACGGCCTCCTTCAATTCAATGGTTTTATGTTGTTTATTTCTAATAAGAATGAGCCAAATAATATGCTTAGTTTTTCACAAAGCAAAGCCATTTTCTTTTACCAAAGTATATTTTCTATAATATATTAATACATGATATAAGCATTACTAAAATAATATTTTAGTAATTTGAGAAATATATTGTTTTAACTTTTATTTTCAGTTCAAGGTACATGTGCAGGTTTGTTACATACGTAAACCTGTATCACAGGGGTTTGCTGTACAGATTATTTCATCATCCAGGTATTAAGCCTAGTACCTATCAGTTATTCTTTCTGATCCTCTCCCTCCTCCCACCCTTTGATAGGCCCCCGTGTGTGATGTTCCCCTCTATGTGTCCATGTCTGCTCATCATTTAGCTTCCACTTGTACGTAAGAACATGAGGTATTTGGTTTTCTCTATCCAATGTTGTATAAACGGAACTTATCTTTTCCACCCTGCCTCCAGCCCACCAAACCTCCCTCTCCTGCTGCTCACTCTCTCAGTTCACCAGCAGCTTGCTTGTTTGCTTTCTTTCTTTCGTCTTTCTTTCTTTCTTTTTTGTTTGAGACAGAATTTTGTTCTTGTTGCCCAGGCTGGAGTGCAATGGCACGATCTCAGCTCACCGCAACCTTCATCTCCCAGGTTCAAACAATTCTCCTGCCTCAGCCTCCCAAGTAGCTGGGTTTACAGGCACCTGCCACCACGCCCAGCTAATTTTGTATTTTTAGTAGAGACTGAGTTTCTCCATGTCAGTCAGGCTGGTCTCAAACTCCCAACCTCAGGTGATCTGCCCACCTTGGCCTCCCAAAGTGCTGGGATTACAGGCGTAAGCCACTGCACCCGGCCCATTTTTTTCTTATTTAAAATAATTAACTGAAAGAATTAACACTTATCTAATGGTGATTTTCAGTCTCTCCTTCAGCTCTCTGGAGAAAGGAAACCTTGACCCCCTTGAAGGAGTGATGGGGGAAGGAGGAGTTGAAGCTTCTGCTTCCTTGGTCAGACTGGGTACTGGTGCTTCCTACACAACCTCCTGAAGGTGTCTTTCAGATCTGCGTGTTCTTCATAGGAAAAATTCAAGGGCTTTCCAACTGCAAATCTTCCTTCACAATCAGCCTGATCTCCCTCGATACTGCTTTTATCACCTCCTGCCTCTGCTCAGCAGTTGTCTGCTCACATGTGGATTCGGTCCTAGGAGTATTTGTTAAGCATGCACTTACCCACGTGTCAATTCCCACGCCAACCACAGGCGGCTTATATCCACCCAAGAGGGATGAGAAGTGTAATTTAAGATATAAACCACACAGGTACTGCAATGAAGTTATGCAGATGATACAGAGCACCTAAGATTCTTATGTTGAACTTTACAATATGCAAACTTACTTCTCTTTAAAGTGAAAGTTCAGTGAGTTTCCAGCTCTACAAAAAAAAAAATTAGAAAATTAGCCAGGCGTAGTGGTGAACTGCTGTCCTCCCAGTCAATAGACTGAGGTGGGATCATTTGAGCCCAGGAGGTCAAGGCTGTAGTAAGCCATGATGGTACCACTGTACTTCAGCCTGGGTGACAGAGTGAGACCCCGTCTCTAAAAATAAAAATAAAAAATTTTTAAAGTAAATTTAAAAATTTTTTTTAATTTTACCTCTGTCTTCACCAGATCACCTTCCCACCAATACCCTTTCTTTGGAAACTGAGTGAGAGCACACTGCAGAGGTTGACCAAGCTTAATATTTCTTGTGAAATATTAAGCAGCAAAGTGCTAAGTAATTCCACAGTCAAGGGTTACATGCAGTACATCCTCAATGTTGCCTCACATCTGGGAGCATAATGAATAGCAGTGTTATGTTCATCTTCCTTCCTACTCAACCATTATACACCAAGGAAGCAGTGTGGTCGAATCCAATCCCTTTGTATACTCTAAGAAAAAAGCCTCTCCTCTTTCAACCCTTTCTCCTAATGCTGTAGTATCATAAGGAAGAGCTGAAGTTGGTAGTTTTACCATCTTTTGAAGAGCTAAAAGCATTCCAAGTTTTTAATATTGCCAAGCACGGAAAACAAGCACTACCCGCCCCCCCCCCCACCACCACCTGTTTGTCATTTTAACCTTGTTAGGTGAAAGAGACTAGAAAACAGAAGAGTCCCCACTACACTTATTCCAGCGAAGGACTGAAGCTGGAGCCTGCCACAAGCATCTTCTAGAACAGCTTCAACAGGGGTATCTAAGAGATGGGCCACTAGCAAGTCATAGCGGAGTCCAAACCAGAGTGAAGTGAGAGGAGTCTTCAGCATGAGAATGGCCAGGTGAGTCACGGCGACCAGGCTTCCTTCCTCTGGCTATTAAGTACAGCAGTCTCAACAGTACCAATGACCAGGCCTTCCTTCTATTTAGTTCCACCACCGGGCACTGGCACATTAAGAATGTCCGTCTAAGGGCGTATATAAAATAAAGCACACTTTGCACTTTAACCAGTGACTAAGGAAGATCAAAGGCAGGGGACAAAAACCACCCGGAGTTTTCGACCTCGCGAAAACCTCTCACCAATCCCGCAGGAAACTGCGGCGCTGGCCCAGGTGTGCCCAGCTCGGCTCGCGTCCACCTGGGACCAAACTGGCCCAAGAAGGCCCAGCGAGCAGGCAAGAGCGACTGTGGCCGGCGCGCCTCCCGCAGTTCCAGGCGGTGGCAAGAACCTGAGAGCCGCCGTCCCAGGCTGGCCAGGCGACTGCCCGCCCTGCACGCACTCCCTGAGCTGCCGCTCCCGAGTCTGGGCAGAACTCGCAGAGGAAGATAGGGCAGAAAGCGGGGAGGGATGCAGCGCTCGCCAGTCCAGGCACACGACACTTGTCAGCTGAGGGGGGCAGAAGGGAGCCGTCAGCCCCCAGAGAAAACAAAAGCCAAATGCCCACAGCCAGGAGTTCGGTGGCCGGAAGACTGGCTGGGAGCCCTCCGGAGTCCCGCCCCGTCCCTAGCCCGGGACCCCGGCTGCGCTGGCTCTGGGGCGCCCGGGTGGCCGCGCCTGGCACTCCGACCCTGTCCTCGCGGCTAGCTGAGACGCGGGGCTCTGCGGCGGCCGCGCCCGTCCAAAGTGGGCGACAAGTGAGGCAGCGCCTCTCGCGGGGAGCCCGGCACGCGCCCTGGCGGCGAAAGAGAAAGAGAAAGAGCCGAGGCCGACGCTGGGGCGATCCTCAACACCTCCCGCCCCACCCCACCCCCAGTCCCCCGGCCCGGCCCGGCCCTCGCCGCGGGAGTCGCACAGGCCCCTCCGCCCGCCCCGGGACCGGGGCCACCCCCCGCGGCGGCGGCCGTGGGCGCCCACGCGGGCTCGCAACCATCCCACGCGAGCGGCGGCGTCCTTCTTACCCCCAGCGGAGCGGCGCCAGCCCGCAACGCCTACCGGGCGATAAGCTGGGGGCGAGTCAGAGCGTGAGGTTCGGCCGGCCCAGGCTGCGGCGCCTCTGCCCGGCGGTGCCCGGCGGGAGGGGCGCGAGGGTGCACGCGCGGGGTGGGGGCGCGGGAGCCGCCCCCTGCCCGCCCCGCGCGCATGCTCCCGCCGCACCTGCCTCGCTCCGGGTTCCACTCCCCGGGGAGCCTTGTGGCGCTGGGCCCGCCGAGGTCGGGGCTTTCCCGTGGGAGGGGGTTGGCTGCTGCTGGATTTTCAGATGCCTCCTTCTCTGCATTTGTTCCCTGGGAAGGATTCCCCCAAATCTTGGCTACTTCCTGCCTGCCAGCCTCCTCCCCCACTGCCGTGTCCCAGGCGCTCACCCTGCTTCATCCCAGCTCTTGGGGTTCACCTTCCGAAGGCTCCCTCCACCAGATCTCCCTCCCTGTCCCGCTGCTCCGATTTTGCAACCTCCCCCATTCCCCTTTCCCGCTCTTGACTTTGCTACTCACGAGTACCTGGATACCATTTCAAAATAAAAGAATACTCTTTCCAAGCGGCGAGAAGTGTTTACTCGCCGTGTTCTAACTGCTTGGGATTGAGCAGGAAGCAGGAGCTGGGCAGATCCTGCCCTCTTGGAACTTAATGCTTTGGCCTTTCTCAAAGCATTGTCGCCGGGTTTCGGAGGACTGTATTAAATCGTTTATTTGGCTTATAATTAAAGGTAGCTGGTAACTGAGGACTATACTTTGTGACTTTTGAATGAAATGTTATTTCATAGCATGCCTTGTATATAAACCCTAGTATGCAAATAATAGCTAGTATGTACAATATAAATATTAGTTTGTTGCTTTCTTTAAGAAATTGAATAATTTAGCAGGATTAACAACAATAGCATCCAAAATGATCTTTTTGGTTTATCGTGGACTACCATAAACCGAGAATGAAAACTTGCTTTTTAAGCAAGACTGGGCATTGTAGAAACATAATTTCATATTCTTACTGAAAAGAGATATATAAACCTTTGCTAATGAAGTTTTAAAATCAAGAACAACGATCATAGAAATTTGTAAGTGCAAACACACACGATTTGTGTTCTGTGCTCTAGTCAGTTAAAGAAAAAGTTGTTAGCCAGGCATAGTGGCTCACGCCTATAATCCCAGCACTTTGGGAGACAGGAGCTGGAAGATCACTTGAGGTCAGGAATTCAAGACCAGCCTGGCCAACATGGTGAATTATGCCCCGTCTCTACTAAAAATACAAAAATTAGCCGGGCATGGTGGCGCGTGCCTGTAATCCCAGCTACTCAGGAGGCTGAGGCAGGAGAATCGCTTGAATCTGGGAGGCGGAGGTTGCAGTAAGCTGAGATCACGCCACTGCACTCCAGCCTGGGCAACAGAGTGAAACTCCATCTCAAAAAAGAAGAAGAAAAAAGAAAAAGAAAAAGATAAAGATACTAGAGACAAAGAAAAAAAGAAAGAAGTAAAAGACTTAAGTAGCGGGAGGAAAACATTTGAAGCACAGTTAACGAAGGAATGTACTTCTTTCCAGGCCATTTTAACGTTGTGCTGAGGCCTTGTAGAGCTGCGTTTCTGTGATAACGGGCACACCTGCGGGTACCACCCTTGGTTGGAGACTTGCTCACCAGATTGGATGAAATGAGAATGGGACTCAGCAGATGAGAGTTCCACAAGCACAAAAATGCTTCAATTATTGCAGTGTATCCCCGGTCCATCTCAGTGGTGTTTGTTTATCATTGAAGATTCTAGATATTAGTAACAGAGATATCAAAATGCCTGTAGCACTGAAAGAGTTAAGTGCACTTCTGGTTTCACTTGCCCTTCAGAGAAGTGAATATTGAGGTTAAAATATATGAAATCGAAGAAGAAAGCTGGATTGAAACCCAAATAAAGTGAATTTACATCAGCTTATCTTCACTTCTTGGGGGGGGAAATTATTTTTATGTTTATTGATTATATTTAGTTTAAGTTTATGAAAGCAGAAACACTGTTTTCGGGGGCTGAGTTTAAATAAGGAAAAGGATACACCGATAAAACAGGTCGAAACAGGTGGGAAGCCTCATCTATGGCTACTTAAACATAAATGCATAGGTGCATAGTGCTGACAATAAGAGGATTCTGTTCAGAGAAGCTGACATCTGTTTTAAACTACACTTATTCAAATTTTATGGAAATATAAATAAGCAGGAACACATTAGTACACTTCTTTCAAAATTTGAAAAGCTGTTGTAGTAAATGCCTTTTATTAGTATAGCTGCAGATTAAAACGAAATAGACATGTTGTTGATTTTTATAACTTTACCAATGATTCATCATGAGCAAAGGGGTTTATAACATTCATAGTTACTAGGCATTTTACTTTTATAATTCACTTGAATCCAAGCAACTCTACATGCAAACAACTTTGTTTGTTTGCATGTAGAGTTGCTTGGATTCAGCTGAATTATTATAAACCATCCAGATAGATAAGGATGATTTATTGTCAGGATAGAAATTCCTGATGGTGTGACATAGAGAACCCCTTTCTGGAGGTCATCAAAACATAACAGAGGCACAGCAGTCCTATAATGTGTCCATCTATTGTCAATGAAAATGAAACCTTCCCACCTGCTAAGATAGTGACTGGTTTTATTCAAGGAACTCATCATTTTAAAAATTTTGCCAAATTTGTTTACATTTTTCTGGCTGGTTGTTTATATTTCTTTTCTTTCCTTTCTTTCTTGAGACAGGATCTTGCTCTGTAGCCCAGGCTAGAGTGCAGTGGTATGATCACAGCTCACTGCAACTCCACCTCCCAAGCTCAACTGATCCTCCCACCTCAGTGTCTAGAGAAGCTGGGACCACAGGCAGCCACCACTTCTGGCTATTTTTAAAAATATTTTGTAGAGATGGAAGTCTTACTATGTTAACTAGACTGGTCTCAAATTGCTGGGCTCAAGCAATCTTCCCGTCTTAGCCTCCCAAAGCACTGGCATTATAGGCATCAGCCACCAGGCCTGTCCTATATTTCGTTTCTAAGTAGGACTAAATTACACTGCTTTATTATTTGATCAATAGCAGGATTGGCTGTTGATATGAATGTGGATTTTTTTGTATGTTATTTTGAGGCAAGGTCTCGCTCTGTCACCCAGGCTGGAGTTCAGTGGTGTGACACAACTCACTACAGCCTGGACCTCTGGGCTCAGGTGATCCTCCTGCCTCAGCCTCCTGGGTAGCTGGGACCATAGTTGTGCAGCACTATGCCAGGGCAATTTTTAAATTATTTGTAGAGATGCGGTTTACTATGTTTTTAAGACTTGAAATTGTTTCTTAGCTTATACTTTGAATGTGACCATTTGGGAGAGTTTAACACAGAGTGAATTCCTGGATACGTTTTGGTATAACTGAGAAGTTATCTTAACAGAATTCTGTATTTGCTTGGACAAGCAAATTGTCCACAGCAACTGAAAACATTTTATTAGTCACGATCTTCAACAACTCTTATCATCAAGTTTATTTTCATGTTAATGCCACTGTTAATAGTTTTCTATGTTACAGTTGTGTTTTTTTACATGGGCTGTCCAATATTAAGCTTCCTTTAATGGACTGAGGTATAATTGCATAGTGTACTATTTAAATGCAAATATTAGTTCATAAAGGAGTGTAAATTATACTGTATAATTAAAACAAATTTTATTATTTATTTATTTTGATAGAGACAGAGTCTCACTGTTTTGCCCAGGCTGGTCTTAAAATCCTGGCCTCGAGACATCCTCCTGCCTTGGCCTCCCAAAGTGTGAGATTACAGACATGAACCACTATGCCCAGTCTAAAACCAATTTTACATAAATGATATCAAAAAGCATAATGCTTTTTTGAACAAATGACTTAAAGTCTATATAGAAATCTACTTACTTGCACATTTGTGCTTTCTTTTAGTTGAACAAAGTTATCAAAAAGTAGCTTAAAAATACTGCATTCCAGTGTACTTCCTTGACTTTTTAAAAATCCAGCAGAGACATAATATTTCTGATGATGCTTAGCATCTGTATAAACTGAAGAAGATAAGAATCCTCTTGTTAATAAAAAATAAAAAAAAAAACTTCACTTCCCACTACAACCAATACCAAATAAGCTAATGGGATTTAAAGAAAGGCATGAAAACTCCAGAAGGAAAGATAGCAATCTCTTTAATCCTATTTTCATAGTTATTGATGGTACAACCACGCTATCTCCAAAGTGCAAGATCTAGAAGAAGAAAGTTGAAAATTTGATGGTGGAAATTCTTGAATAGCAATATGCCCCAATTAAATGTAGCTGGACACAAATTCTCTTAAAAATAGCAGATGATATAATAAAGACATACCTGGTTCCAGACCACCACAATAAGGTGAATATAGCAATGAAGTAGTCACACAATGTTTTGGTTTCCCAATACATATAAAAATAGAGTTTATACTATAGTCTATTAAGTATACAATAGCATTATAACTAAAAAGGCACGTTTCTTGGCCGGGCACAGTGGCTCACGCCTGTAATCCCAGCACTTTGGGAGGCCAAGGCAGGTAGCTCACAAGGATAGATGTTCAAGACCAGACTGACCAACATGATGAAACCCCGTCTCTACTAAAAATACAAAAATTAGCCAGGTGTAGTGGCACACACCTGTAATCCCAGCTACTCAGGACGCTGAGGCAGAAGAATCACTTGAACCCGGGAGATAGAGGTTGCAGTGAGCCAGGATTGCACCACCACACTCTAGCTTGGGCAACAGAGTGAGACTTTGACTTGACTTGAAAGAAAAAAAAAAAAATATATATATATATATACACTTTATGGCTAAGAAGATGCTAATGATCATCTGAACCTTTAGCAAGTCCTAATGTCTTTGACCATGGAAAGTCTTGTCTTGATGTTAATGGCTGCTGACTGATCGAGTTGGTGCTTGCTGAAGGCTCGGGTGGCTGTGGGAATTTCTGAAAATTAGACAAAAATGAAGTTTACTGCATCAATTGACTCTTCCTTTCCCACAAAAAAATGTCTGTAGTATGTGATGCAGTTAGATAGAAATTTGCTTTCAGTAAAACTTCTTTAAAATTGGAGTTATCCTCTCAATCCCCGC